GTATTTATACTTAAATAATGCATTAAAGCATGATATGAGTTTAAAATGAATGGAACTAAGTAATTACCAATGAAGATGGACTAGATAACAAGCCTCGTGCTTGTGAATTAATCGAGGAAGTAATCATTCTAGTTTCCATAATTGGAGTGTCATCTGGAAAGCTTTTGACAGAATTCTGCAAAAGTACAAGAAGATATGTAAGAATCAGATTGTTCAATTGTAATGCTTAAATCCATTTGATATCATGTGAAGAGTTCAAGCATGCAACAATCTTCACTCCCTTGTTCTTTATTGTTTCTGTTCTTGATTCTGTCTTCATCAAACCCTAAAACAAGCAATAACAATATAAAAAGATGTTTAAACAATTGAGTTAACATACTCCTAACTCTCTATTTGAAAAGGGCATAAAACATTAAAACAATAACCAATGTGAACTCTTCTTGGAGAGGATTGATTAATGCTTTGGATGAGTTTCTTGATGCCAAATCAGCCACCATAGTTGCTACCACTATATCCTCTGAGGTAGGACCCTCTTGAACTCTTTCTTTTAATATGACATCAATACTCTGAGCAATAAAAAATTGTGATAATAAGATATCATATTTTGAAATGATGCAACGTCAAATCATCACTATATAGTCATCAATGTTATAACACACATCATCATGGATAGGTAAATTAGTTTTGTGGCAAGCTTCAATAGATGATTTTATTTCTTAGTTGATTCACTCATCATTTCGTGTCCATCCTCCAACTCCTGTTTGAAATATTATTATATAATTAGCACAAATATTAGCATTTGACAATTCTAGATCTTGGATGTAACTTGTTATCACATTGAAAACAATCAAATAATTTATAAACTTACATTAGAGATGTCCTCTTCGATTGTGGTTTAGCTGTTGAAGCTTCCAATGCTTGTTTCTCTAATGCTGGAGTTGGATCTTCGGCTTCAATTTCCATCAATGTCTCCTCCTTGCGCTACCATCAAAAGGCACATTTTATCATCCATGCATTAGTTTGATCTCTCTCTCTCTCTCTCTCTCTCTCTCTCTCTCTCTCTCTCTCTCTCTCTCTCTCTCTCTCTCTCTCTCTCTCTCTCTCTCTCTCTCTCACGCGCACACACATGCACCCAAGTTTGAATCTTCTAAGAAACTTAACATCATATATCTTTAATATTTCTAGTGATTTTTGTTCAAAATCTTCACTTTGGATTTTTTGAATGGGTTGATGAAGTCATTGTTATAGCTTTATCTAATCGAAGTAGAATCTTGTTAATCAAATACCCTCTCTGTCTTAATTTATAAGATATTTTTAGATAAAATTACGCATACCAATAAAACTAATTAACTACACTTTACAACATTATTTTCTCAAGATAAAAATATAAACTTTTAAAAATATCCTTAATTTAATACTTCATTTGTGAAAGAATATTAAATAAAGAATATAATGGAACTGGTAACATTGAAAAAATACAATTAACAAAATTTTATTTTTATCAAAGCATTTCATATTGTAAGATGTCAAATCTCCCATAAAAAAGTGTATAAATTGAGATGGAGAGATTATTTCGTTTCATACCTTGTGTAATTGACTGAAAAATAAGCTTGAGTCATCTAGCATAATCCTTAGTTCTCTCATGTCTGTTAATTAAAAATCATTCTTCTCTTGCTACTATTATAAAGGTTCAGTTTACATGCAAGTCCTCTTTTGAATGTAGAATCAGATTGTCATTGTACCATTAATGAAGATACATTTGAAGTGGGAGCTTCATCAACACTTATCTCCATTGCTTCCTTCGAATACTTAACAACACCACAAGTAATTAATAATTTAGATGTAATCAAATTTATGAAAATGTTAAATTTATTTGTAAAAGAAAAGACAAAAAAATTACAGTTGGTTTATTAATTAAAAGGCAAGGAACCTTTTTTGTTCTGGTGATGATGATTAATTAGTCTAGTAAATTACCTCTGCAAAGTTTCGTGATGCACTTGCTTCTCCCCTATGTGGTGTTTCTTGAGAATTATTGGAATGTATAGAAACTAGCTCTTCTGTTGCAGCTTGACTTCCTGAATAAATATTTTCAGGCCCTCCTTGAAGTTGAGAAGTAATTTCTGTGGAAATTATAAAAGTTTCGATATATGTAGCATTAGTAGTAGGGAAAATATAAACATGCAAGTGTGTTTATAATTTTTAAAATTTTGAATTAGGTTCATACAATTTATTTTATTTTAATCGAACTCTTATAATTTGATTCCTTAGATTTTTTTAATCCCTGAAGGTTATCATTGAATTTTTCCTTTACAAATAAAAAATTAAGAGCATATATATTTTTACTAAAATATTATATAACTTTAGAATTAATAACATAATTTTTATAATAAATCAAAATTTATATTATTAGATTGTTTTCTAAATATTTTTTATACATATAGAATTTTCATAAAATATAATAAAAATATAAACTGTGTATTAAATCAAACTTTTTATAAACTCCAAAAGTATTTTTGTTTTGAAAAAAGTTAATAATTCATTATTAATTTTAACCTTAAGGGATTAATATATCTAATGGATCAAACTATAAGGACTTAATTAAAACAAAATAAACTATATGAATATAATGGCTTAATTAAAACAAAATACACTATATGAATATAATGGCTTAATTAAAACAAAATACACTATATGAATATAATTCAAATTTGAAGAAAACTATAAAGATGATTAATTTTTCCTTAGAGATTCATACCTTGATATATGGCACAATCAACCACTTCATAACTTTGCACAGTTTGAAAATCAATCCCCTCATAAACAGCAACAAGCATTGGCAATTTTAAGAGTCTTATAATTGACAAATTTGGAAACACATCTTTGACCAACATCTTCTGTACTGTAGAATCTTTTTTGTGTGTAAATGCTTGCTTCAGCTTAGAGGCTTCCTCTATTTTCAATCTCTCTAACTTAGGAAACATGCCAGATGTTGAGATTGAGAAGAGGTATTTCAAGCTACTACAACACTCTATGCAAATTTCTTGCAAATTTGGGAAGCTAGGTTGATGCGAATAATGATCATTATCAGCACTTTCTTCTTCATATTCATGGCCGTCTTCAATTATGTCAACCAATTCTTCACAATCTTTTATCTTTAAAGAGGACAATTGTGGGAGGCTTTTCAATATTGAGATGGAGAAGATAGCTCTTGGCTTTTCTCATCCTATAATTTGTAGCCACCAAAGGTTGTGGAGGCTCAAATTATACTTGGGACCATTATGTATATGCCTCAACTCACAGAGATTGTTGAGGTTCATGTTTCGTAAATTTAATGTCACGGGACCTTCAATTCCCACTCATTCCAAATTGAAAACCTCTTCTGTTTTGGATTTTCCTATTGCAAGATCTTGTAAATTTTGCATACTCTTCATAATTTTCGTCAAGTCCTAAATAAAGGTATAATAAATTGAAATTTAAGTGTAAATTCTACAAGTTAACTCTCATCAGAATTTAGGGCAAAGGTAAATATTAAAACAATAATAACATGTTCATCATATACATGTATATCTACAAATATATAAATATGCATGGACGTGAAAGTTTCATAAGAAACTGTTATAACATTATTAAATTGCGAAATTCCCAACACTGCCATTAATGCCTATTGTCTCCGTTTAGCATGGAAAGCCTATATATTTACAAAGACATGTAGACATGGGCTACAAACATATATTTTATCAATATCATGTCTAATTGCTCCTATTGCCTCTTGATAAACATATTATGCAACTTAAATAAGTACTTTAATTTAACCAAGATTTTTTCAAGATCTTTTGGTTGATCACTTTTTTAACATCTGCCATAAAATTTTCAACAAAGGCATATATTCATAAAAAAAAAAAAGAGAATTTTATTGTAATTTTTTAGTATGAAAATTTAGTATAATTCCACCTTTTGACATGACACATTTAATTTGATGTCTAAAATATACTCCTTCCTGTCTTCTTTATGCTCCTTATTATACGATTTTCTAAGCTAAGTTGTCTAATTTTTTATGCCATTTTTTTGACATTCCCTGACTAATTAAACAACTTTCTAACTAATTAACTTATTATCCTCTATTTAATAAAATTTATTGGAGGTAATTATGAAAAATTAAAATTATTAACTAATTTTAACTGAATTATTTAATTTATGTAAAATTGTTAATAAGTCGTTATAATGAAAGCACAAAGTATATTCTTTATGGAAAAAACTTATATACTTAACCTTATATATTTAAGATGCTTGTTTTTAATTAAATCAAGACATGTGTATCTATTATAAATTATTTATTTTGTAATAAATTATTGTTATTAATATTAATAGCATATTAAAATTTGGATGTTTTAATTTGATTGGATAAAAATATATTAAGCATATAAAGTATATAAATCTGGCCCATTCTTTATTTTCACGTTTGAATGCTAACCAATTTGTTGTAATTAGGAAAGGTCAAATAAACATTCTAATACATACTTTGCTAAAAAAAAAAAAAACATCGTAATACATACATGTCATAAAAACAATAAGCCCAAAGTATTACCTTTGCAGCTTTAATATTAAGTTGTCTTCCTTGCAAATAAACCATTAAATCTATAATAATTTTAAATTTTAAATTAAATAATTTTTTAATTAATATTTTATTTATTTATTTTTTAGTTTTATGACTAATAGAAATATTAGCCTAGTAGACTCTATATTATATACTTACTTAAATATTCAAAGTTTAAATTTTACTTAATTTAAAGATTAATTTTATTTTGTTTTACATAGAAAGGTTACTGAAGTGCCCTTACTTTTTGTTATAAAAAAGAATGATAAATAAAATATTATAACAACAATAAAAATCTGATGGGGTCATTACTTGTAATTTTTTCAAGAAGTTTTTTTTATTTTATTCTCTTTCTTCCTGATTATTCATTCTTCATTCATCATTCAGACGCAGAGTGGAGAGAGCGAGAGAGAGCATCGTTCTTCTATTTCCTTCTCCTCTTCCCTGTTGCACCGCCTTTCTGTTCTTTGGGGTTGATTTTCTCTGCTCACCATCAGCTATGTCTCTTCCTCGCCATCACGTACCACCGTTGGGAGTGTTGCTGTCACCAGATCCTCTCCTTGCCACCGCCCCTGTTTCGTCCTAATCTTCTCTACTGTATCGTTAGTGTGTGTGAGCTTTAATATCCTTTCCTATTCAATTATAGGACACGCCTATGTGTGTTTGATAAGCTTAATTTCTTTCTTTTGCTAGCCAATGATTTCTGATGTTCTTCCCTCTCGTTCGTGCGGCAAATTGAAGCTTTTCCTTTCCTTCTTGGTGCCGACCATGTGCTGATTATAACTGTCACTACTACACTTTGGGTTAAGGTAAATCGTCGGTGGTTTCTTCTCCTCCTTTGATTTCAACAGTTACACCAAATCATTTTCTCTTCCTCCCCTGGCCGAAAGATGAGTTTTTGCTCTTCATTGTTGCTATCATGATTTTGAGGAAATTGAGGTGTTGTTTGGTTTATGCTAGGTGTTACTTCATTTTTAGTGACGAGCTGAATTTTGATTGTAGAATTAAACATTTGAAGAAGTTGGAAGCTTGGATGCTGGGTTCATAATTTAGTTAGTTGTGAATGATCTTATAGTACTTGTAGGAATACTCAAAAGAAGAAATTGGTGGGAATAAGATTTTTAATTTTCATACTAAAGCCTAAAGGAATTATATATGCTATTTGAGAAAGTATATGTCTTCATATAAGTTGTGAAGTTGATGTATCCATTGGAATTGTACAACACTTAAAGGAAAATTGCTAGACTACATAATAATTAAGATTTTATTAAGTTTGAATTAAGAGCTGTGTTAATGATCAAGATTGAATGCTTCCAAGTGTTGTTGATTACTTGATGGAATTTATCGAAGGATTTAGTAAGAGTTTAAAGGGTTAATAAGAAACTTTAAGAATTATTGAAGAGCTTGAATATTAGTTCACTTGCTTATATTAAAAAGAAAAATCATAATGACATAAGAGTTGCTGGTTTAAATGCTAGGTTAATTTAGGGCATCACTGAAATAAGTGTGAAATTCAAGGAGTCTAACTATAAGATTATTGAAAATCTCATGTGAGTGGGTAGCGTTCTGAATAAATTTTTAGTAAAATATTTATAAAATTCCTTTATTTAAATTTTAATATTATTCTTTTATAGGCAGTATAAATATTCTTACAAATTCTATCTTTATAATAATTGATTTATAAATGATGATTTCTTGATTTTACCCATGATTTATGTTATTGCCAAGTAATAATTGAAGTTAATATATGACAAATAGTATTACGTCTCAAAAGTAACTTAATAAATTCTATGTTTGATATAAAAATTTTTAATATGATAATTTGTACATGGAGGATAGGAAGATGAACATAAGAAATGGAAAATGATTGTTGAACAGTTTATTTGAAAGTGAAAAATTTTGAAAATTTTATTCTTGCTCCATGCACGCTTGATTTTTAATGAGGGGGATTGAATTCAGAACGCTAGACGATAACGACAGTTCTATTAACCTTTGATGCGCCATGGTACACCTAGCTAGTAGGGTGCATTGGAGATACTAGCCTCGTGTGCTGGCCAACACATGTGGAATGGAGGATGTAGTTTTGTGGATGTAATCCACGCCTATTATTCATGAGCTTTATACTTGCACCTGTTTTTTGTAGCTTCTTGCCATGCCAGATATGTTACTTACCCTCGTGAACTGTGTGTCCATGCCTGTTATTCATTCTGATAAAGCCCTCCTAGATTAGACTTAAAACTTATTGTTTTTATATTAATTTCTTTAAAGGCATTTTTTTTTTTTAAATTTCACCATTACTCAAAATTTTATATATATTATAAATTTTTATAAACTTATCTGGTTCTAATATTGTTGGTGGTTCCAATTATACCATTAAGCAAACTCGTCATTTATTGTTAATTAAGAAAAGTGTTTCATTATTTTCTTGATTTGTTGAAATTAAATTATTAGTTACTATTTTCTCATTTTTATTTATTTATTTATTATAATTTACAAACTTGATTGGAACACTACTCACTAAAAATTTCTTTGGTCTCAGATATTATAACTGACCCTGCACTTTTTGCCAATCATTGAGGGGCAGTATTGCTTTTTGGATAGTGGGAGCGACAATTCATTTTGATGCAATTATATATTATATTAAAATTATAAATTTAAAGCTCCGCGTATACTGTAGTTAGGTTCTAGTCTTATTTTGTTGTTGTGAAATATATTGGTGCAGAGTTAAGCTTCTTTCTGGTTTGGCTGACCAGTTTTGCTATTGTAGAAATTTTGGGAGGTCTTAGTTATAGGAGAGATTTTGTTAAAAATTTTACAAAATGTTTAAAGTTTTACCAACTTTATAATTATATATATTAGAGACTTTTTGATTAGTAGGGTTTATTTATTGATATTTTATTTTTATATTTGGTTAATTAAGGCTTATGAAATGTGAGTGTATCTTATATATTCTGTGCCAGTCACACCTTTAATACCAGAGTGTGACAAAATCAGAAAAAGATTTTCTGTCCAGATCTTGACACATGTCCCATAGAGACGGCATGCTTAGGTGATAACCTTTTGCACAAATATTGATCATCTTTGGTACATCTATAAGTGATAGTGCTTCCAAAGTTGGGAGATCAGTACGAAGCTCATCACTTTCATTCTCATTTGATAAATAATATGTCTCAAAAATGTACTTCAACCCTGCAGCTTCTTCAATCATCAAAGATCTTAATTTTTGAAGACCTCCAACGACATAGTAAGGAAATACAAACTCCAACTTGTTGCACGTTCAGATTTCGAGATCCACCAGTTTTGAGAAAATGGAGGTGTTGTTGATATAACCTCGATCCATAGAATCATCTTCAACCACATTAACTAATTCCTCAGTCACAAATATATAAAAAAGACAACTGTTGTAGGCTTCTCCATGTCGAGATGGACAACACAGTTCTTAACTTTTTGCATCCTGTGAGTTTTATTTCTTTAAGATTGATGAAGTTGACGACATTCGGCGCCTACACTTGGTGTCATTGGCCTTTCAACATTGATAATCTCTTGAATTTCGGATTCCTGCAAGTATTTAAAGAGGCAATTTAAATTCCAAATCACTGTTAAATTTCTACATTTCACACTAGTGATCAGATCATGGTCTAATTTTGACCCCAAATAAATGTATAAAATATGCATAATTCATTTCCAAACATGTCCAAAAATTATTAACACTGATTCCTTGGTTCTTTTTGCTTCCCCATCACATAACGCTCCTCAATTACCTTTTCACTCTGTAGCACAACTAGTTGACCAAAGGTTGACAATAATGATATAGATGATTGTTCAGACAAATTAAAAGTATAAACTTATAATTAATCTGTGAAATTTTTCATAATATTAAAAGTGTCGACATGAGTCAATAAATAGACAAACTCCTCTCCGTGAGTGTGTGTGTGTGTGTGTGTGTGTGTGTTATAGTCAAATAGTTCTAAAATCAACTCTTTTTATATAAATTGCTCAAATCCACATAAAGTACAGTAACATTACCCAATTTTGATAAGGTTTTACTGCTTCTTCAGCAATCAATCTTATATAAGAGCAGAAAAGTTCAAATTTTAACAGAATATTAATTTCCAAGCAAATGTTCTGAATTAACATAAAGTAAAATTAAACGGAACAAAATGCTTTTATGCCATAAAACATGTTTGACATCCTGTAAAATAACAAGTTAAAAGTGTTACCTTTGCTTCTTCCAAATTTTGTAGAGATGGGCATTCCAGATTGACATTTATGGATGCAAATGCTGATCATGTTTGGCACGTTTTCAAGGGATAGTGTTTCCAAAGCAGAAGATGAATGTGAAGCTCATCATTTTCATTCTCATTTGGCACATAATAATGTTCATGATTGTATTTCCCAAAAACATATTTCAGTTCATTGGCATTTTGGATCGCTATAAGTTTTAATTTTTGAAGACCTCCTGAAAATATGGATGGAAATATAAATTCCAGCATGTTGCAATTCTTGATTCTGAGAATCTTTAGTTTTGGAAAAATGGAGGTGCAATTGATATAGTCACGATCCTCTCCTCGATTTGTTATTATGTGCTTCAATTTTTCGCAATCCCAGATTTCCAACTTCTCCAACGTGATGATCATAGCAATGGATACACTGAACATTGTCTTTAATGTTAAACAATTACTAAGTGTCATCTGCCTTATATTTTGAAACATCACTGGTTTTCTCACAAGACATTCAGTTGAATGAAATGTTTCAATCCCTTTCATTGAAGCCAGTAATTCCTACAAGCACACATTTAATTTTTCTATCAATCAACCCAAATAATTAATTTAGTTTTGCATTATTTGCCTAAGAGAAACAATATTATGAAAACAACATTTAAGGTGCTATAGAACAAATGAAATACAAAATAAATATGTCAAGTATCATGTGGTATACGCTCTCGCATATAAGATTGTGGCCATTTAAGATATAAAATATAAATATAATAAAGCATTAAATTAACTAAATACGTCTTTCACTTATTCCTCTTCCCATATTAGTAACAAAATAATAGAAAGTGAAGAAAACATAAAACATCAATAAACACACACACACACACACACACAGAATAATATCAATTTTTCTCTTTAACTTCTACTCAAATAAAAATCTTAAATAAATTATCATTAATTAAATCTATAAAAGATTATAACATAAACATTTGTCAAATAATTTGTATTTGCGGAAATTATAAACAGTTTTTTGGCCCAAAACTAAGTCTATGTATATAAAAGCTTAAAAAATTGAATTTTATTAAGAGAAATACAATACACGAATAAGTTCCTTTTAATCAAACTTTCACTGCATCACAAGTACGCAGAGCTATATTAAATTAAATAGAACAAGACTGACATGATATAGAATAATAAGTTAAAATAGTGCTACCTTCTCTGCTTTCAAAGTCTGCTGAGATGGGCAATCCAGTTGAAAACTCTTGATACAAATGCTATTCATATTTGGCACATCTTCGTGGGATAATGTTTCCAAAGCAGGCAGATGAAAGTGAGGCTCATTATTTTCATTCTCATTTGGTGATGTATAATCCTCATGATTGTATTTTTTCCCAAAAATATATTTCAGTTCATGAGCAGTTCTGATATCCATAGATTTTAATTTTTGAAGAACTCCAGAAAGAGTAGATGGAAATAGAATTTCCAGCTTGTTACAATTCCTGATTCTGAGCATCTCTAGTTTTGGGAAAATAGAGTTATTGCAACGGATATAGTCACCATCCTGTCCCTCATTTGTCATTATGTGTTTCAATTCATGACATTCTATGATTGATAACTGCTCCAAAATTATGCTTGTGGCAATAGATTCACTGAACAATGTCTTTACTTTTAAACATCCCTTGAGTTTCATATGCCTTGTATCTTGTACGTTCAATGATTGTCTCAAAAGATACTTAGCTGTATGAAATGCTTTGATCCTTTGCCCTGTTGCAAATAACTCCTACAACCATAATATATGTTTAGTTTTTAGTTTACATCTAGTCAAAATCCATTTGGGAGATCTCAACTATTTGTTGGATTTGACAAAAGCACATCCTAAGTGTCATTTGAATATATTTTTGAGGGTTATCCAAACAGACCTACACATTTTCCTGATATTAATTCAACTCATATGACTAATTTCTATCATCTAATCTGATGCCTCAATAATAATCTGATTAATAAAAAGAATTATTTTAGTTTATTAAAATACTATCAAATCAAGCACTTGAATTTCAAAATTTTCATGAGATTAATCATGTATTTATAAAACTAGGCATGTGTTAAACTAAATTATTTTGATGGAATAAACTATCCTTACGCTTATTTAATCTGGTATTAGGAGCTATTTGATCGGGGACAAAAAAATTGAGGGGAAAAAAACGAAAGAAAGAATGAAAGATGAAGGGGGAGGGAAGAGATTAAAAAAGAGAGAGGAAAAGGGGTATGGATATAAAGCTTGAAATGTGTCTAATCAAATGGTCTAAGTTATTTTAATAAAGTAAATTATTCTCAAGTATATTTAATAATATAAAGAATTTAACATAATTTAAGAAGAAACTTACATGAAATGCAAAATATACGTGTCAAGCATCTTCTGTTATAGAAATTGTCTATATGTGTGCGTACACGCACAGATATTAAATTATCATTATCAATTATATATAAATGTGAATGGATCTTTCGATCATGTAACATATGCTAATAATGGAAGTTTAATTAATAATTCTTTCTTTTAAAAATGTAAGACATTTTTAATTGAATCTCACTCTCAATAAAATAATTATCTACTTTCAAAATAATCATATATTTTCATATTTTCTTCTATTAAACATTCTGTAATAAATATAAAATTATTTCTCGTCAGGGCCATTTAAAAAAAATAATAATTACACTTTAAAAAATTAAAAATATTTTATATTTAATTTTTAAAAAAATATTTTATATTTTTTAATAGAGAAAGCAGGATCACAAAAATAGGAAGGTTGAACGAAAGGGAAAGACAATAATAGCATACCTGTGACATTGTGTGACGTGGCAATTTGGCATTGGAAACTACAGCATCAGTGCCTTTCAATGTGGCTAGAAAACAACACCCATGAGCCCATGAAAGAGCACGTGTCTTCGAATTTACATTTTTCTCCTCTAAACTACCTTTCAAAAATGAAGTTTGCCTTGGTATACGTTTCTTACAATCGCAGAATATTTTAATGAAACTTGGTACTTTTTCAATGTCCATTCTAGTCAATAAAGGGAGAAGAGTCTCTTGATGCAAAACTTGACCCTCATCGCGATATTCACTCACTATGTATTTCAACTTCTTACAGTATCTTATAGATAAATCTTCCAAAAGGGAAAGGTTTCCAGGGAAAAATAGTGACGATACAATTTATAATTTGTTACATCTTACAATTTGAAGAGATTTTAACTTTGGAAACAACAATCCAATAACACTCTTGATCATCAACAACCACTGTTTCTTCTCCCAAACACTCGTATACAGCAATTAAACTTTTTAGCTTTTCACAATTTGCAAGTACTCATTCTTCCAATTGTGTTAGACTTCGAGCAATAGAGGGTTGGAAAATTGATGGTTGGAACATTGGATAGTTATTCAATTCCAAGACCTTCAAATGAGGTAGTTTGAGATTACCATCAAAGAATTTGTTTGAGTAATTTCTTACAATTTTTCAACTTTAAAACTTGCAATTGCCTGAGAAAGTCTGAAGGCGGAGAACCCTGGTATAATTCTTTCATTTCTACTCCACACAATTGTAGCGCAACCAACTTGGAGAAACCTGTCATGTCAAAATAATGATGCCCCTTAGTATCAATGAGGCACTCAATCTTAGACCCTTGACGCAATCGAAGCTTAATCAAGTCATTCATACCTCCATCTTCCATAGGAATGATGTCCGGGACAAGATTTTTCCATCCTATTTCTCCTATTTCCCCCAAGTCAAGGACCTCTACTGTTTCCATAAGGTACTTAAAGAAGTCTTTTGAGATTAAATTTTCCAGAGAGTCTGTATTAAAGCATTTTAACACGCCATCCTCATCATCAGCAAAGCATTCATATCTAGTTTAAGATATAGAATACATTTGCAATGCAATAGGAGGTGTATCATGAGTAATTTGATCATCTTCAATTTTTTTGTCATCATTTAGCTTCTGATGTTCAACAATGTAATTCTTAACATAATACAATTCTTCCAATTGAGAACATCTTTCAATTACTTTAAAAGGATTCTTCTTTTGAATTTCACAATCCCTTAATCCCAGCAATCTCAACCTTTTTAGTTCACTAATTTTTGTTGGTAATTCATTGATTGAACAATATTCCAATTCAAAAGTCTCAATACTCGGGAGATTTCTTATGATAGAGATGTCATCCAATCTCCAACCATGTAGACGAACACTTCGAATATTATTTAATGAAAAAAGTGACTCTAACAATGATGAAGGGAGAAATATTTTACCATATTTACAAATTAAAAGTAGAACTTTGAGTCTTGTCATCCCTACGAAGAATGATTCTGGGTTGTTTGCTACAACCTCTCCATTTATGATAAGAATTAGAATCTCGAGTTTCATACCATCAAACTTATCAAGTACATCACTAGTACTCCAAAACACAAATCACTTGTTTGTTTTTAAAGTTACTCCTGGATCCGTAAGCACTTGAATATCTTCTTTTGCTATCCATAGGGCAACTTCACTGACCAAGTCATGCATTTTTACACATTCACTATTATCAACCTTTAATAACAAAGAAGAAGCTATAAGTTCTTTTTTTTTCTCCAAGTGCTTGGCTTTTCGCTACATAATATTTGTCAACTTCCCCAAAAAGTCCAACCCCTATACCAAGTCTAACAATAAGGTTCAAAGAAAGTCTTCTGGGAAAATAGAACACAATAAAAAGAGCTTTTGAGCCTTTTCATTCCTTAGATTCTCATAGCTTAAGCTTAAACATTTATAAACCTTCACCAAATTTTCATCAATATCAAGAAATTGCACAGAATTATGTAAGGTTGCCAAAGCTACCTTCCATTCACTTATAGGCCAATTTCTTAATGTGCTAGCTAGTGAGACAATTGTAATTGGTAATCCTCCACACTCCTTCACAAAATCTTGTGCAAGAACCTCCAAATCATCACCACTTCTAGCATGCAACAAAAAAAGATTTAAGGCATCCTTATTGGTCAACGTGTGTAGCTGAATTGTTTGTTGACATCTCATTGCTTGACAAACTTTCGAATCGCGAGTTGTTATCAAAATATAGCAATTCCCATGATCTAGCCAAGATGGAATCCCTATGTCTCTAAGATTTAGTTCTTCCCACACGTCATCTAATATTATAATTAAATTTCCATCATAATTATAAATTCTATGCCATAAAACCTTCGGGTACTCTTCTTCCTTTCCTTCCTCTAATTGCAAACCTAACTACCTTGCAATTTCACCTTGAAACTTGTTGATATTTGGTAGATTGAAGACAACAACAAATACTACTTTCTGAAATGCTTTGGATTCTTCAACTTGTTTGCCCACTTGTGTTGCCAATGTGGTTTTACCCATACCCCCCATCCCTTGTAACACAATCATATGATGATTTTCACAAGTTGCTTCAATTTTGACTTTCTGCTCTCAAAATCAATGAAGTCTCCAGAAGCATGGTATTTTATACTTGAAAGTTCAGCTGGACGTGCTACTCTTTCGAAGTTACATTTTATGTATGTGATTTTTAATGGCTTGCGTCCTCTGTGCCAACCTCTTGCCTTGTCGGTGTCTCCAATGAGGACACCAACTATAAGACCAGGTCTGCTTGACTCTACAATTCTCTCGAATAAGATTTTCAGCTTCCTCTATCCAATTTTGAACTTCATATTCAATTTGGTTCTCATTTCTTCTTTTGGCATCTTCAACATCATTTTGCACTTTTTTTTTGGTTTTGTAACCAAATCATTATTGTCTTGCACAAATTGATGCACATGAGTCTCAAAATGACAAAAATAATTAACTTCCTTTATAGCCTTATCCACTAATCTTCGAGCAAGATTTAATGCAATAGTTTCCCCAATGCTCATCATCTAAAATGGACATGAGATTGCAATTACAAGTTTTTTTCAATTGTTCATAGATAGAGTCAGATTCCCTCCTCTAAGGGAATCCTCCACTGTCCCTTCATTAAGGGACAGTAGAAAGCTAGACCATTACTATTACAAAAAAGGCTAAATAAGATACCTTATACTTGATAGTTATTTGTAAAAAATAACAAATAAAAAAGGAAAAAAATATTTGACAATATATCTATTTGATGCTTGTTCTGAAATAATCATCTAATATATACTTGATATATTTGACTTATTTTGTAACAAGCATCACGGTTGTTATTATGGAGTAATCGTCAAATATATCAAGTACAGATTAGATGATTATTTCAGAACAAGCATCAAATAGAATAAAATTACTACTTATTATGAAATAATCACCAAGTATTGGTTTTTAAAATTGGCCCCAAACCCTATTTCATTCCACACTCAGACAACTCGACAATATTCAAAACTTTTCCAAAAACTCCTTCCTAACAATTCCACCCCCATTTCACACTCTCTAATCGTTAGGATCATGATTTGTTTACGGGTTTGCTTTTGTGGGTGCTTGTGAAGTTTGCTTGTGTGGCCATGCTTGTGTTCGATAGAGGCTTATGGTAAGTGTGCTTGTGAACATTTTCATGATTGTGGTGAGTTTTGATTTTCCTTCATTTTTCGTTCTTTTCAACCGGTTAGTGTTAGGTTTTGATTGTGGGTTTTCATATAAGGTTGTTCATGGTGTTGAATTAGGTGAATTGGAATTTGATATTCCATATTTAATTCATCTCTCGTGTTCATACTTGTGGTGAGTTTTGATTTTCCTTCATTTTCCATTCTTTTCAATCGATTACTATTGGGTTTTCATATAAGGTTGCTCATTGGTGTTGAATTAGGTGAATTGGAATTTGATATCCCTTAGTCAGTTCATCTTTTATTGTTTTTATTTTTGGTTAATTTGAATGTCTACATTATTACACATTCATTCCTTTCCTCTCTTCTTCTTCCCCAAACTAATATATATAGGAATTTCTATGCTTGGTGCTGTATAAATTTGATATGATATGTTGTTTTTCATGATTGTTGTTTAAATTAAGTTAGAATAGAATTTACTGGAATATAATTTAGTATAAAAAATGGCATAATGCTCAAGAAACATCCTTTTTTAAGTTGTTATACTACCGAATGTTTTCCAAATTTATTGTTTTGTATTATATATAAGTAAGTGCTAGTTTTGTGTTGTTATTGATATTGTCAAAATTGTGGTTTTTTTTTCCTTACCAAGAGAGGGTCTAATGCCCAAGAAACACTCATATTTAAGTTGCTAATCCAAATACTTATGAAGAACACTTACTGATTATCGAGATGGATTAAAGTTACAAGCGTTAGACAATACATGGCAAGATAAAGAGATGATATTGATAGTAGCCAAGAGCATAGTGAAAGCTGTGCATCATCTCATGCTAAATTAGAGTTATAAAGTATACTGAAGCATGAGATGTCAATTGTTTGGAAAACATTACAAAAAAGCACAAAAAATGTCATTTTACAAATTACAAGTCGTTCGCCATGACCAACGATGCATTCATTTCAGTGAACCATGCTAAGACTAATTTGATCTACATAATAGTCAACGTTCTATACATAAACAGTGGAGGTAATTTGCTCAAAATTTCAAAGTTCAAGGACCAGGATGCTACTCGCATAATAGTTTAGAATCTATAGTGCTAATTAACAATGACACATCAACATTTAAATGGCGCCTACAGTGATCAGCAACAGTGTTAACAAAAGAAAATGGTAGTGTTTAATTTACTATGAATTTAAAAGTTTAGGATTTATTTTACACATTTTAAAAGTTCACAATCCAAGGTGCTTTTCAAGCAAGAGTTCAATGTCCATTTTGCTCATTAACCCAATTTTTAAAGTAAATAAAACTATTTTATCTCCAAATATCTCCCCATTATCTCAACTTCTCATTCACATATTCATAATTTCAAAATTCTAATTTCAAATAATAAATAAAATTCAAAATCTTAATTTAAAAATAATGGGAAAATTATCCCAACTTTCCATTAACTTAATTATTTACACTTCCAAGTTTCTAATTTAAAAATAATAAAAAAAATTATGCATCACAAGTAGCATCTAATGACACCACATGTCCTTTATTCTAATTTGCTTTATTTATTTTCTAATTTTTAAGAATAAATAAAACTACCTCACCCTTCAAATATTTTTGATTTTGTAAGGGTTCATGGTTATTACTATTGCCACCCCACATGTGCATGTGTTTGTTTATGTTATGAAAGGATTAAAATGGTGCCCAACCACATAGTTGTTAATTTTATGGTCAGGGTAAACTTTTGAATGTCTTACTCAATGGAAAAATGTTTTGTGGTTGCCATTTACATCTATAATTAATTGATATGTAATTGTATAGACTAGATTGACCTTAGTTACTAAGTAGTTGTACTCACCACTCAATCTTAAATATTACAGGAACTAGCTCATTGGATCAGGATAAAAAAAAATGACCAAAGGCATAGGATTCTACATAATCATACCTATAGGCCTTGAACTTTAATTATGTGTATTTTTGGCTACTTGAATTGCTATTTGCCAACTAGGTTTACATGTAGTTCATTTTTGGCTACTTGAATTATTGTTAAAAATGAACTGAAAGCACGCAAAAATAAGTGTACATGAATGAATATTATATAGTTCTCTCTCTCTCTCTCTCTCACGTATTGATTTATGAAAATTGGGCTCCCCATTATGTTTTGTGATCAAGGGGTTGAGCAATATAAAAGTGATATATGAATGATTAGTTGGCTATAGTGTGTTGTATGAGCCCTATACGATCCTTGAGAGTGGTCTAAAGGTTGGTGTAAACTTTTAACAGTTGAATTATGGTTTAAGCACCCTGGTTGTGACTTTATGTGAAAAAGAGTAAGTTATAAAACAAGTGTCCAACTTTTGATTGAAAAATAATTTGATTGTAAAATTGGTGCTATTAGCTAAAGCTAGAAGAACGCTTTCTGTAGACACCTAGATTACCTCAATCAGATGCCCGACGAAGAAATGGGCTGTTGGAAGTTCACCCTAGTAGCTGTCATGTGATAGCTCTATGCTATAAAATTTTGTGCAATGTTTCCTCACGCAGGCATAAAGGAGACAAAGCATAGAATATCTGCAGTGAGCCACGACGCATCTCTATTCCGCTATACTGTTTTGTTGTTTTCAACTATTTCGCAAATGCATTGACTTGTTTAAGATCCCATGCTTCCACATAAGTTTTAAACCCTAATTTATGAATGGTGAAAGTGTTCTGAAGTGTTTTTAAATAATGAACGCTTCCCCATTGTTGAAATTTATAACTTTATATCGGACTATACAAATGGGTAATCCTTTAGGGTTAACACCTTGATTATCTAGGTTTGGAAGTTAAATAGAGATTAGTAAGGGATACCTTACATAAGATCTTCAAAGTTGCTTAGTTTGAAGCAAGGAAAAAGTAGGAAGAAAATAAGAGGGAGAAATTTTTTAGGGAGAATGACAAACAGGTCCCAAAAGAACTAATTAATTCAAGTTAAATCTCAAGTTCCAAACTCTAAAAATTTGCAACTCAATCTCTCAATTTTGCAATTACGTTGTGATGAATTTACAACTTATTTTTCAAATTTTAACATGATTGAAGAATTAAATTATTTTTCCTATTAAAATTTAAAATACAAGTTATAAATCCATTACAATGAAATTGCAAAATTGAGAGATTGAGTTGCAAATTCCTGAAATTTGATACTTAAAACCTAACTTGAATTAATTAATCCTTTTGAAACCTCTCTGTCATTCTTCTAATTTTTTTTAAAATAGTAAATTTTTAATTTGGAATGGATAGTGTAAAGCATAAAATTCATAAAATTACTAAGTTGACTAGGACGATGGAATCTTGTAGTCATTTTGGGCCATTTGATGTTGTTGAAATGATTGTGATGTGCTCTGACTTGGTTTGGATGTTATCACATTCAACCTTTAACTTTTGGTGTCTTGATCTCAAGTTAAAAAGTTTGATTTACATATCTAAGAGAAATTATTCAACATGAGAAAATTAATGGAGATGTTGCACATAAAATATAAGCTAGGTGGTTTAAATAGAGAAAGGCTAAAGCATTATTATTGTGATCAAAAGGTACCTGTTAAACTTAAAAGAAAGTTTATTAAATTGCTATAAAACCAACATGTTATATGGTAATAAATGTTGGGCCTTGAAAGGATAACATGGGCATAAAGTTGGAGTAACAAAGATAAAATTGTTAAAATAGAAATGAGGTAATACAAGAAAAGATAAAATTCAAAATGCGCATATACAAGAAAAAGTAAATGTGACATCTATTTATGGGAAAATGATAAAAAATAATTTGTGATAGTTTGAACATATACAAAGAAGGCTATAAAAAGGACTAATGAGGAAAGTGGAACTGATAATCTTGAGCCCTATTAAAAAAGATAAAGGAAGATCTAACATAACACTCATGAAAATTGTTAAATGACACTTTTTAGTTAACAATATTCCTAAAAACTTAGTTGATGATAGAGCACAATAGTATCGTGCAATCCAAGTAGCTAAACCCATCTAGTGGTTTAAGGCTTGTTTCAGGGCTCGTGTGCATGGCTTAATTAGCAACATGGTTTAAAATCATGTTATTTGCTAACAGTGAACTTAATCGGTGCAATTTTTTCTTCTAATTGACAATATTTAAAGTATTAATGCATTAGAGAATTTATTAACTCATTACTCTTCAAACTTTATGCTATGTTTAGATGCATAAGGATTTATATTCGTATTTGGACAATAGGAACCAACCAAGACTGGACTATTGACTTCTATTAGAACTAAACTACTTGTGCCAATCGAGATCGAACTGTTGGTGATGACCCAGGCCAAAGTGTAGGTAAAGATGAGGATCAGAAAGCCAAATTTCGTCGTGACTGGATCGATAGTGCCGACCAGGACCGTAGTATAAGTGACAATCAGGATCATAAGGCTGACTTCCACCAAGTCTAAACTATTAGCATTAACTAGAATTGAACAGCAGCTTGCGACCAAGATCAAATGACTAGCAATTAGGCCCGATCAATGCTAACAGTCCAGTGTCTGTGGAAGTCTGCCATTTGGTCCTAGTCACCGCCGGAGTATGGTCTCGTTAGAAGTCTACTATTCAATCTCGCTAGACACCGGCTGTCCAATCTTGGTGAAAATAAGTCATCCAGATTGCCGACTTTGACAGGGATTGGACTGCCAACGTTGTCCGAATTGCTTTTAAATTTAAACATTGAATTTAAAATTTGAAATTTTACTTAAAATCCAAACAAAAGATTTTAATATTATAATTTAAAACTTTTTACATTATCTAAACAAAAAATTTAGAATATATAAATTTTAAATGTGAGATTTTAAATCCAAATTCCCAATTCAAATTCACCCATCCAAATGCAACCTTAATGTAATTTGGTAAGTCAAGGACAAGAAGCTGAAACTATATACTATGATCAAATGAAAAATATAGCAATGTAAGCACAAAAATAATAAATCATAAAAAATGCATACTCACTACCTTTTGTTTTTGTGGAAGACTTCAACTTTGTTCGATGATGCCTTCGACAAGGAAACCTCCTTTTTTTCAAATTTCTCTTTGTAGAATTTACTAAAAACAATTGACGAAGATAAAACTGCAAAAAAAAAAAACATCAAATAGACGAATATTAGAACACAGAATTGGTTTTTTCTGTCCTATCAAAAAATAAAGAAATGAACACACAAATGGTTGACCAGAACTCCAGAAGCAAACATTATAGTGGCCAAAGAGGTATTATAAAATAATGCACATACATATATCATTAACTGTAATACTTAAAGTCGGCAGCAAATTTTACGCTTAATTCTTTAATAAAATTAATAATTTGAAAAACATAAATAAACTTAAATTAATTTTAACGACAACTTCTATGAACAGAAACTTTGATATATTTTTCAATGTCATCAGTTATAAATACTTGTCCAGGACCCTCAATGCATTAACGTACAAATGATACAAGTGCAAAAGTAATTGATAATTCTTAAGCATATATAATTTTAAAATAATTATTTTTCATCTTAACATATATTTTATAAAAAAAATTTATAAAAATATATATTTTAGATTATTAAAAAAAATACATTAAATGATAGTAGTTATATTTTTTTCATAAAAGATATTTTAAATGTTTTTTACAATGGTTTCGGGCCAGGTTGGTTTGCATTTAGGCATTTGGATCGGCCGGTCCAATCAATCAAACCAGAAACTAGCTCTTGATCCAACGGTAATTTGATGAACCAGTGCCCGATCCCATTGTGACAACATTGATTGGTGAAAATTACAATGGAGATTGGATTCAGCCCTAACTACTCCCTCATTCCTATATATAAAATATTTTTAATTAAATCACATAAATTAATAAAAATTAATTATTTAATTAAAAACACATCATCATTCTAATTTTACTTCTAATTATTGTAAATAAATAAATCTCTTTTTTCAAAGTAAATTAATGAAATTAATTATCCTTTTCTCTTTTTAATTTAATAAACCAACAAGCCCTCATAAGGACAAAAAAATATTCTAAAAAATTTCTTATATATAGAGACCGAAAGAGTAGATTAGAAGATACTCCCAAATTATAAGACACTTTTAGATAAAATCGCACATACTAATAAAACTCCTTAAATACACTTTATTACCTTTTTTTTTCAAAACAAAAATATAAATTTTTAAAAATACCCTTCATTAAATATTTCATTAATGAAAGAATATTACAAAAAAAAAATATATGAGAAGAATATTATTAAAAAAGTATTGAAATCTTATTTTCATCAAAATATTTTATATTTTAAAACGTTAAATCTTCTTTAAAAATATCTTATAATTTTAGATAGATTGACTATTATTTTTGTTCATCCACAGTACTTAATGATATTGCACTCCAAGAAATTGATAGTGATGAAAATGATAATAAATAGTAATTAAAAAAAGCCGCACGCGCGCGCGCACAAAAAGGAGTAAAACCACTCAAATTAAATGGATATTTGCCACTTCTTTTTCCCCCCCTGAGAATTGAACTCTGATTGATGATAACTTGCGACAGAGAAAAACCTCGCTTTTTGTTGTTTTTCTTCAAACTCGCAAAAGATGACGACAGCCAAAACACGAATACGAAACTGAAAGAGCAAATCACATTATTAAATCACAAGTAACAGCTTTTATTACACAAGAGATATGGTATATACGCATATGTACAGAATAATAAGTTATTTGTTAGCATGTTTGGCAGTTCAAATTTCTAGTCATTTCGTTTTTAAAAAAAAAATTGGGAGAATAACACTAGGGCGTAAAAGATTAATTTAATTATAGTTGAATCACTAAACTTATTTAAAAAATAAATTACAAATATAAATTTAAAGAGAATGAGACACAGAGACAGAGTGAGAAATGCAAATTCAACATTTTAGTCTCATAATAAGTCACTCATAATAATTTTTCTCATATTTGCAACTCACTATTAACAAATATTTTCAACTCATCTTTTAATAAAATTTATTAAGACTTAACTGTTATAAAACTAATTTTTTTTTTAGAATTTAAGTGTCATTCTTCTACGTAATTAGTTTATGTAATTGAAAGTTAATATGTCATGCAACTTAAATTTTGGTTTTTCATTTTAGTGCATTAGTTTTTTTTTTTTTGGTCCAAATACTATCTACTGCATTCACTACGTGAGAAAATCGAATAGGTCAAATTAAATATAAACCAAATGACAATGAGCAACAGAAACAAATAGAATCAAAACATATGCTAACCTTAATTTTTTTGGGAGATTTCAACACTGATTGGAAGTCTCCTTTTTTTCTGTGAATTTTGGATCACTTGTAAGAACAAATTAACAATCAACCAAGGGCAAGCTGCCAAGAAAAAGTCTACATAAAACGAATCATAGCAAACAAAAACTAATTACCAAAGGGGTAAAAGCTTCAACAATACGAATACATAAGAAGAAGCATGAGAAAATGGACATATATATAAAAAATACTAATCTTCCCCCTTTTTTTTTTCAATTTTTTGGTTTGCGAAAATCACAAAAGAGAATAACAGAAGCATGGGAGAAAAGTTATTACATTACTTTATTAATTAATATTTTTAAATTTTATCCTTGATAATAAAATACTAAAAAGAGAATTTAAACCTAATTTACTATTTCTACTGGCCTTCTTGAATATTATGTTTTTTTTCTTTTTAAGAGAGGTAAAATTAAAATATTTTTTAAAATTTTAAGACAAATTTACCTTTCTTCATGCTGGTGAAATAATTGGGAGAAATTTATAATATAGACCGTAGATCTTAACATTAATTTAGGAAGCTGAAAAAAGCTAAAATTGAAAAGCAGTTATTAATGAATTATAGTCAAAATTTCAATAATCCCAACTAGTTAGATGATTTATTATTAAACTAACTTTAATACTTAAATGATAGTATAAATCAATAAGAAGCTCAAAGTACTAATGGTAAATAACAGTCTATTTACTTGATAAAAATGTCATCAAAATGAGGGGCTAAACACTCTTGTTCTTGGAATTAGTTGGAACCTATTAGTGGATGAATTGGTGATTGAATTTTCTCTTTAGATTGTGAATTAGTTAATATAGCTTTTAAAGTTATTTTAATTACCTTATTGATTGAGGTAAATTTTTTTAAAATATAACTATTTTATAGTATTATTTTTCGTGAAATTTATCATGTACTATATTGTTTTTATGATCTTTATGGACACTTCTTGTCATTTTTATTTCTTAATCTCTTCCAAGCTTTTAAATTTATTTTAATTTAATACGATCATGTTACCTCACATGAAGAATTCAACTATTTTTTGGAAGTAAAGAAAGAACGTGAATGAACACATGAATGAAGCCTAACTACCAAAAAACTGTAAAATTCATGGCATACAAGCTGCAATAAAAATGGAGAAAATTTAGTGTGATACACAGATAAGAGACAATGGAATAACTAATACCTCTTTTTTTTTGTGTAATTTAATGAACAAATGCCATTAGAGGCTCAGAATGGAAGTAAAAAAAAAACATGAATACTTATTTAGAAGTGCCTTTCAGAAAAATATTTTCATGTTTTACAAAAATTATTTAAGTCTCCAATAATTAATTGATCTCATGAAAGCATCATTAGTCATAAATAAGCATAGAGCATATATAAACTAAAATAAATTTGATATTTGAAATTTAATAAAAATGATATAAAGAAAGATCACTTTACCTCAGAATGGCATGAAATCTAAGTGTTTAGAAGCAAAGAAATTGGAGAATGGAAACACAAGTGAGGCCAATCTGCCATTGCCATAAACATCAAGAAATCACCACACCCAAACTGCAATAAAAGATAAACTACTTCAGTACCTCACAAATATGAGATACAGAGATGGTGAAATAAATTATATATAGCAAAAAAAAAACCTAAAACTTAGTTAAGATTCAGTTATTAATGAATTTTGTAGGGGAAAAAGAGAAGAAAGGAGGGTCTATTATTATCTGAAGCGGCATTAAAGATCGGAGGGACTTGAGAGAGAGAGAGTGGGGGCCAGAGAAATGAAGAGAGTTACAGGGGACGAATAGGTAATTAAGAGGATGCTTGAGGAGAAGCATAATGGCAATGATATTATAAGAAGGGATAATTGTTTAGTTATTTAAATTAAATTAAAGGATTTGAGTGCAAAACATATCTAAAAAAATTTTTCCTATAAGATTCTGGTATTTTTAAGTAAACAAAAGTGTATAGTATCCATTAATTTGATAAAAAAAAAGTCAGCTTTCCTTAATCCGTTAATTTCTTCCTTAGAACATATAAGGGTCAATGTACTATTTTAACGGATTGAAGAAAGTTAGTTTTTTTTTTATCAAATTATTATGTACTCATGTACCATTATTAATTTAAAGATACAAGAAGATCTGGAAAAAAAAATTCCTAAATATTTGTACACCTAAATTTTAAATTAAATTTAATTGTTGGCTTTCTGTTACTGCATAGGCATAGTGCAATGCGTGGGGAATGTGCTTTTTGGCTATGTTTGTTGGCACATTTGGTGTCGGCGTTGCACACTTGCCTTCTCAAATGAGGATGTGAATAAAACGATAGTTAGGCTATGTTTAGACAACATCTTAACTGAGGTTTGTATAGGGTTTGGGCTACCCAAACCTCAATTAGGATGTTAAAAGCTCTTTTGAAAAAAAAAAAAATCATGTTTGGATAGAAAATATTTTGAACGGACTTATGGACTAAACATGGCATTGGCCATGAAGCTACTTTTTTTGGCTTCTGGCGTTAGGTAACTCTGGTCAGTGCTGGTATTGAATATTTCAATGACAATTATGTTTTTTTGTTACCCTTTTTCTCTCATATATGGTGCTTGCACAAACTAGACTCAGACAGGTGCATAAGAATTAATGATTTGTCTTTTCATGATCTTTTAGGTTTTCAACAAGATTGAAAAAAAAAAAAACAAGAAAAATACATATGAAAAACTTTTTTACAGTTGGGAGAAAAAGATGTAGAAGAATATTAATATTAAATTGTATTATTCTTAATTTAAATTTAAAGTCTGCACAAAACACGTAAAATAAAAATTCAATTGTATTATTTTTAATTTAATAATATTCAAATTTTTACAAATTTTATACTCAAATGTATTTTATATTTGTAATCTATTTTTTAAAAAAATTGTCATTTTAAGTTCAATATTTTTTTCTAAAAATATCAAATTTGTCACAAAAATATATACAAAAAAATTCATATTCAATTTTGTCATGATATATCTTAACTGACTTTTAAATCAAATCATGTAAACAAATTTTTATTTTTTAAAAAAAATATCCAAATATAAATCATATTAAAATCAAAGACTTTTTTCTTAACTTTAGTTTGCTAATTTCAGTTAATTCTAGCTTCAATTATAAATTTTTTACTACCTTATGCAGAGCAAGAGCAGACCATTCTCTTGCCTTTGTCATAAAAGCAATCTAAGTGCTTAATCGCACATGGCCTTTTGTTTAGAAAGCATATCGAACACACTCTTCAGACAGGACCTGCAAGACGTGCACACATTGTCTCCGAACCGGTGGCTTATCCGACGCATCGGTGGAGTGTATGCACGAGAGGAAAACCGACAGAGAGCTCGGATCGAGGTTCCGAGCAATGGACTCAAGCTCGGCAGCAGCGAGCGACTGGGTATCCCGGTCGGAAAGCTTGGTGAGGCACGTGAAAATCCGTTGTTTCAGATTCACGGAGGGGTTCGACGAGGGAGGCATTGCAATTCAGGTAATGCGGGTGGGAGAAGAAGTTCCAGCGACGAAGGAGTTAGGTAAAAGGCGGCGGAGCAGCTGGAATTTCCGGCAACATCGCCGGAATTTATTGTTCAGGGGATTGTTGCGGTAGTTGCTTGGCACATTCGGTGGAAAATAAGGTGCCGGCTTTATTGTGTGAAGATGTGCAAAGGAAGCAGAGCAGTTTAAGAGAGAGACGGTCGTTGATAACGATTGGGAAGCAAACGGCGAGTCGTGTGTTCGATAATATGGGAGACAGGGAAGCTAAAACGACGGGATGTTTGCTGGGGTCATAGAGGGAGATGGAGTGTCGTTTTTCAGAATCGTATTTTACCGTTTTTGGGCAATCCCGTGCATATGATTGATTAATGTAGATGAGGCTGTATTTTCACAAGAACAGAGTGAATGATAGGATCAGGTAAAGTGAGAGATAGGCATGTAGAGTCAGGGCGAGGTTTTAAAAAGTAAGAACGATTGAGAGGGGAGGAAGAAGAGGGGGCCTTGTGAAAGAAAGCAAACAGGAGATCATGTGGAGATTACTTCAACATATATAGAGTTAAGTTGAAGCATATCATGCATCAATGGGTTTTTTTTTTATCATAATTCTCAAATGTCACCTCTTTTTTTTTTTACTTAAATTTCAAGAACAAAATAATTCAAAATCAAAAGACAGAAATGTCCACAGAGCATAATGAACAACATTCAAATTCGATTTGTAATAAATGATATAAGAAAATACGATCACTTTACCTCAAAATGGTGTGCAGTTCAACCTTATTTAGACCTGAAGCAATTCAACTATTTGGAAGCAAACAAAGTACAAAATGGAAATACTAGTGAAGCCTGTCTCCTGTAAATATAAAGAAATCACCACACAAACTGCAAAAACAAACAAACAAAGAAAAAATTTAATATGGTACACAAATATGAGATAATAAAATAGTACTAGTGAAACCTCTCTCTCTTTTTTTTGGGGGGGAGGGGTAAGAAAGAGGCACATTTGATGAAAATATCAATTTCATGTTTTATAGTAAGTATTCATGTCTCAGCCTATTAAGTAATTGATCTTATGAAAGCATAATTTGTCATAATTAAGTAGCAGAGAGTATAATCTAAGTTTGATATTTGAAATTTAATAAATGAGGATATAAAGAAAGAAGATGACTTTACCTCAGAATGGCAGAAAATTCAAACTGTTAAGGAAGCAAAGAAATTGGAGAATGGAACCAAAAGTGAAGCCAATCTGCCATTGGCATAAATAGCAAGAAAAGAGCAGAGAAACTTGAGCACCTCACAAAAAAGTGAAATTACTTTAGTTTGTTTATTTTCACATCCTCCAACACATTGAGCTGATCACTTAGCTTAAGAAGAAGGAGGCTGGATTGTTATCTCAAGTGTTTGGAAGCAAAGAAATTGGAGCATGGAAGCAGAGGCGATCTGAAATATGAGATCGATGTGCCTAACAAATAGAGACTTCACAGAGAGAGAGAGAGAGAGACCTGAGGTGAAAAGAAATGAAGCCCAAGCCCAAGCCAAGATCTTAAGATAATATCTTATCTTTTTTTAAATAAATAGACAACTTTGTTCATTACTAAAAATTAATATATCGTATATTTAAAAAGTGGACAGTCAAGCAATAAAGCAGGGAAATAAAGAGTGACTCAGTGAAATTTTTTTTTTTTTTGGTCAAGACTCGGTGAAAAGATTGTGCCAAAGCCAACAAACTAGAAGCAGGAAACAACAAATCCAACAACACAAAACACAGTCCAACACTTCGAAATAAACAAAGAACCCAACACTTGAGATAATCAATATCCAAGCTTTTATCTACCTCCAGGCTCAAATCCTACACCATTTACCATTTTCTTTTTAACTAATTGATTTTTTTTTATGAAAACAAAATCTTGAAATTATTTTTTTTAAGAATCTTGAAATAAATTTTGGCACATATTCTTTGATTGTTTGAGCACTAAATAAAATTCATGCAATTCAGATCTTTTATGACATAATCACTTTCCTATCTATATTATAACTTATAAGACTTCTTTTAAAATAATTTATTAGTCCCTAATATAAATAATATAAAAATTATCAATTAATATTTTTTAAAATTTTATTTCTCTCTCTTTAATAAGAATAAAATTAGATTTTTTAAAAAAATTTTAAGACAAATTTACCTTCTTTGAATCAGGTGAAATAATTTAAAATAACTTAAATATAATTTAGAGGGAGCAGATCTCCACATTAAATTAGCTAGGAGAAAAAATATAAAATTGAAAAGCAGTTATTAATGAATTTTGTTTTATGTGAGAAAGAAAGAAGGGTGGAAGATTACTTGAAACGGCGTGAAGGAGTAGTGTTTGAAACTTAGAAGAAGGAAAGAAAATGGAAATCTGATATATATAAGATTCATGAGCCTAAGAAGAATTATGAGCAATAAAGAGATGTGCGTGTAAGCAGGGAAGGAGAGAGAGAAAGCAGAAACAAAAATGAAGAGAGACTAACCTGCAGGAATAGCATGCTGTAGCTTGATCAGAAGAAGTAGAACGGCAATGGAGCGAGAAGCACCGAGTTAAGAAGAAGCTGAGTAAGATCACAATCCAACACAATGATGAAGATGATAAGAATGAAAAATAAGAGCGGCACATAATTGAAGAGAGATTGTAAAAAAGTAAAGCTATCCCATACTCATAAGTCAACTTGTTTTGTCACATCACTCCGACAAGGTTTGTGTGTTTTGCGTGTTCGCAGGCTACACTTTTTGACTTTTGTAGTGTGAGTTTGAATTTAGGATCCAACCAACGTTAACAAATTAAAATTAAAAAATAATTGATAATTATAATATAATTTATGATTAAATTTAAAAATAAATTAAAATATATAATAATAAAAATGAATATAAATTTTTTTGTATATACTTTTGTCAGATTTTTTTAAAAAAAATATTAAATTTAAAATTAATTTAAAAAAATAGATTACAAATATAAAATATATTAATAAGTAAAAATGTTAATTTGAAAAAAAATTAGAATTAAATGATAATATTCAATTGTGAAAATTTAAAATTAATCTATAAATTTCAAACTAAATATGATATATAATTTTTTAGAAAATAAAATATAAAACTTAAAAATTAAAAATAAAGCATATGCCAAACATTATAGAAGTATTCAGTAATATTACTTTAATAAATATAATAGTATTCAACTCATTAAATTCTCGTAATCATAATTAAAAAAAAGACCAAATTTTTGCAATCACTATTAAGTGTGGTGTAACTTTGGGCATACAAGAATTTTCAAATAATTATTCAATAATTTCTTGCAAGAATTTCACGAGCACTTAATCAAGGGATACCTGAAGCAAAAATTTAAATCAAAGACTGGCACTTATATTAGCATCTCAAAGTCATTCAAAACGAAAGCATATAAGAAATTATTTATATACAAAATGATCCTCCTCAATATTTATTTTAAAAATATTGAAACTTAAACAACCTTACACCTCTTAATACAATACAAGTATCAAACTATAAATATGTATCATATTTCTAAACACTCGATTACAAAATAAGTTTTTTAAGACAAATCAAGGATGTTAATATATATATTTATCTTTAAATAAAATATGTCTAACAAAATATTTTATATTAAAGTAATATGACCACAAGCACTTTGTCTCTTTTATTTAATTACTATGCTCTTCTCAAACATTTAACAAATATACAAATTTAAAGTGTTCAAAGTAAAATAAAAGAAAGCTAATAGTCTTATCATATTTCAAATATGATAAGATAATTACACATTAAATATTTTTAATTAAGTTTTATAAAATCATCCTGTTAAGGTATGCCAATTTAATTATAAGGATATTTGGAAAAAATAATAAATATAAGAGATAAAGAAGATTGAAGTTTTAGAACCAAAATAAACTCACAAGTATCTAACTATTACATTTAGGACAACAAAAGTATATCACAACGCTCAATTATTAAAACTCTCAATCATTATGTTTCGAAATTTTATCGATGCGGCCGCAGGGACGACACTCAATTATTATGTTGGCCACCTCTATTATTTAAAGCAGCAGGGTCAAGTAAAACAAAATAAAGTTGGTTCAAAAAGTGAACTAAATAAAGTTAGTTGTCCAGGGTTACTTTTTAATTTTAAAAAAATAAAAATAAAATTTTTTTTAAATATATAATTAATAATTTAATTCTTTAAAGTATCATAATTTTTTTTAACCTTTGAAGATTTTTCTATCACAAAACAATTTATATAAATTATCAATTTATTCTTATAAAAAATAAATAATTAATAATTTTTATTTAAATATTCACAACTTTATTTTTTATATTTACAATAATATAACGGCAAATAAGGAATTAACATGCGAAATTGTGATTTATTATTGTATTATTGTGAATATAAAAAGAAAAGTTGTGAATATTTAAATAAAACTTATGAATCATTCATTTTCAATAAGGACAATTTAATAATTTAAATAAATTCATTAATAACACAAAAGTCTTTAAGGATTTCAGGAGAATTATGACATTTTGAAAAATTAAATTATCAATTACATATTTTAAAAATATTTTATTTTTATTTTTTTTATTTTTTGAGGGCCAAGCCCACTCAAATTCAGGGTTACTACTTCCTTTACACATCGATTTTCCATCAAGAAGAGTAATTATTTCTTTAATTTCTTTGCATTTTCTGTGAGGGCATTGTATATCTGGTGTCTAATTAAAATTCTTCGAGCTGAGCATTATCTAGTTGATTCAGTCCACTTAAATCTGATTATTTTTTTAATTTCTTAAACTAAATAATTTCTTTTATAAATTGATAGTTGGCATGTTATTTTTTTAATTTAGTTCATTCCTTATAAAATAAAAAATAATTAAAATTTAAATTCACAATATTCACTAATAGTTTTATTTAAATTCATAAGTGATGATATATATTCATAAAAATATCTATCCATTTATAATTAATTTTTTTTTATATTCACAAGTAATCTCTTCAAATTCATATAAAGTGACATTGTATCAATTATTGCAATAATTAATATTTGTGTGTGTGAGACAACTAAGTTTCTTTAAATTTAGATGGAGTTATATTCTATTAGTTATTTTAATAATTTTAGTTGCCAACTACACACACAGTGATCGTGCGCGAGCGTGTGGGTAGAAGGGTTTGTGTTTATTCGAAAGTTATGGTGAATTGTTTGAACTCTTCCTGTGCTGCCTCTGGGGAGAAAGTTAATAAAGCCAAGTCTCCCTAATTCTTTCCAAAAATGAGAAAAATTAAGTCAGGAAGATCAGCATTAGAAACAATATTAGAGAAAAACACATTAAAGATCCCAAACCCAACTTTATATATGGGGTGGCAACATTATATGGTATCGGAGTTTCCATGCATCAATTGGGAGTAGATTCTGCTTCCAAAATTTCTTTGGAGGTTTTGGGGTTCAAGAGGCTTAATTCTATGGATAAAGCTTGTGGAGCAAACCTAGGATGGAACTTAATTTCAAGGTCTAAAGGGCCTCGGGGGTGAAGTTTTGTAGCAGAAATACATGTTGAAAAATTAAATTCCAGGGACCTCTAGTGTGCTTTATTTGTGAACAACAGGACCTTGTGGAAAGAGGCACTAGATGGCTGATCCATAATGATGAAAATGTCAATTTCTCCGAGGATTTTTACACGAATGTCTTAGATCTCACTTTCACAGGAAGGAAGAAATAATAAACTGTGTGATTGGTTGAAATATGGAGCTTGGTCTATTTTCCCACCACTTTGTAACTAATGCAACACTAAGACCCATTTACTTACTAGAAAGCAATGGAATAGAGTGGATGAGTAATTTAATTCATAATTTTTGAGGTTTGTAACGGGTGTAGTGGTTTTCACGTTTATGGCATATAATATTGAGTATTTTCATGTTTATCATGAGAGATTAGATAATTTAGCTCATTTTTATTCTACATACCAGACATGCATTTAGGGACTGTGATTGTGCTTAGAAGATGATGTGGCATTGGCTCTTGAATCACAAATCATGCTAAATTTTTATCGATTTCCTATACTATAATGAGTGGGTTGATTCGAACCTTAGCATAAATATAAGAAATGATGTTAACTCTCAGTGGGATCTGATTTGGGGGTGTCAACTTGGAAGTTATGGAATTGGAGAAATAAACTCCTTGAACTTAGTTTCTGAAAAACCTTGTGACCTTGCTTTTGTGATTATGATGATATTGAAGAACTTTGTGATGCATAGTGATTATCCTAAACATAGCCATGCTTGAAATAATACATAAACATTTTACTAAATTTTATAGAAGTGTTTTATAAAAAAAAATTAAACAACACTTTTAGAAGGTATTTTGTATATTAATCAAGGGCCAAAGTGAGCACTTCATTACAGTTTTATGAAAGTTGATTCATAAAATGATCAATTTTCCAGAAATGTCGTCCTCATCTCCGGATTCATTATTTCTTCTCCTTCAAAGATCATGTCGTTCTGAATATATGAATTTGAATATGTCAACCTACTATATAAAATATATATATATATATATATATATTCTAGCAGAAATATATAGTTTGCACAAACATTATCATTTAGAAGAATATACATCACAATAGAATTAGCTAAGCATGATACCTCATATTGGCCGTTTATTTAAGAAAAATGACAACTAAGCAGATAAACTTCAGAGATATGAAATTAATTAGATGATCGCTTTCAATCCATTTATGGCTCATCTCTCTCTCTCTTCGACCATTATAGACCATTGAAAGTGCCAATAATTTGCAAAGTATAAGGACATGTAAATGTATTTATGTGTGTAGCACCTTAATAAGATAACTTTTTTATTTGCCAAAGGATATATATCTACGTTAATTAGATAACCAAGTTAAATAAAAACCAGGGGATCTCAAAATAAAACTTCAAGTAGAAATCATTTAATTTTCTAACTAATTAGGAGTTATGAATCATTAATATTTCAAATTGCCTCATGTATTCATATCAGTATCATGTCCGATATCGATATTCGTAGATACTTTTTCGATACATATTCATGAGTATAGAAATATTTTTAAAAAATTGTATCCGATATTTTTAGATTATGAGTTGATACTTTAAAACTAATGTTTCGAGGTTATTTTTTAGAAATTAAATTTTATTAAATATTGTGATACTAATTTTTTGTTTCTAATATATTTTTATGATTTACTTTTGAAGTTAAATATTATATTTTCCTTAAAAAAATAAGTTTTAGATATAATAAAAGGATAAAAATTATACTTTTTAATTAAAAAAATGTAGGAATATAGTCTTTTAACATATAAACTCTAAGTATGAAACTATTAATATAGACTAGGCAATAGACAATTAGATAAAAATGGAATATAAATATAATTAGTGATTATGTTTTGCTTAGTATTACTATAAAAAACTATATATATATATATATATATGCTAGGTTGAATATTTGTTAAATTGAAATTATATTTTTAATGTTTATGATTTTTTTTATAAATATATTTGCATGTATAAAAAATATATCAT